ACATGTTATACTCAGGAGAAAATATTACCAGTGTGTACTAAAACCACTCGTATTTACTTGGAAGTCACATACTCAATTGTCACACAAAACTACAAAATCATTAGTAAAGTTTGTAGAGTGTTTCTCTCTATTGTGGTAGGTGACAGTTTGCATTGATTTTCGTTATTGGTGCACAAGAGGGTAGTGGTGGGTGTCTACCTGCAATGAAGATTAAACCACCAGTACCTACCGCATTTTCCGTACCCCCCGGCCTCGAACGAACTTGGACAGGAGGGGCAGGCCGATTCGGTTTCCACGTTAACGGCCACCCCAACCGGTAGGTACTGGTGGTTTAAGGTTAATGATCACTTTTAGGGGATTTTGGAGACTGTTCATGAGTAGGCCGAACCCTTGACGGGCTGCAAAGTTCCCGCTCAGTGTTGTCCAAATCAATGCTTACTTGCAAGTGGGCACTGACTACTACTACTAAATTACTAATGTATAAGTGAAGCAAATCAACGCAAGTTATCACTCACCCTCAGCAAAGTCAAGTTCATACAGAGTTCAACGTCAGACCTTATTATAAGCCCACAGAGTACTGTCCATAACACTGTAGGCACATATATAGAAAATGACCTATAAGAACATTCTGGACAAAAGCTCCAATCTAGTCGTGGGGAGCAGCACATGCTAGAAACCGGGCCCAGCGTGTCCCATAAGAACATTCAAAGAGAGGCCGGAAATTTCTCCACAAAACACAACCCGGGAAAGAAACAAACATGCTGGGACTCTATTAAAAAAAAAAACAAAAAAAAACAAAAAAAAAACAAGGTACCGGGTACTACCGGGACCCATTACCCAGCTTAGGACGAGCTCATTAGTACCTCCCACAACCTCTTTTGATTACATGAAGTTTGCTTTGACTTTGACAAAATGGATAATGGATTTGGAACACACATCAGCACCACGCGCAATGACTCCTGACTCCTGGGACCAAGTCCCAGTTACCCGAAATCTCAACTTCTGACCGTAGATTTGGATTTTCAACATCAAATTAATCACCCCTCAACACTGGAGCACAAGTGTGGGCCTGTGTGGCAGGCAAAAAATTACCCGTCAACATGGAGGTCGAACACATCAGCACCGCCCAAAATCTGTGTATCTGACAGAGTTCCGCAGAACAAATTAATGACCGCCTAAAACTACTCGATAAATGTGGCAGACAAAATTAGCTTGGGGAGAACGTCAACATGGAGGGGGAACACATTAGCACATACTGCCCAGAACCACTCTGATCATACAAAATGGACATGGCGCGAGGCGCTTGCCCAGTTCTGGGAAGTGGAAAAGCTTTGTGGTATTAGTCTGTGGAGAAGAACGGCAGAGGGTTAGGCGATTCTGGAGTTGCTGTTGTTGTTGTTATGGCCTCTAGGATTGTACCTAGTACTCTTTTTTTTTTTTTTTTTTTTTTTTTTCAATTTTGAAGATCTTTATTTATTGCCGGAAAACGGGTCCGGCGTCCCTTACATTTGTCCCGTGGCCATACAGGCTGCTGGGCAAGGCACTCCCGGCCAAACCCATCCCGACCACAGCCAAATTTTGTCCTTGAATGATTCAGCAAGCTAAAAACCTACAAATTGACAAAAACCAACAGCTAGGAATCTACTGAGTACCTATACCTAGTACTCTATTGAAAAGCCTTATGTGTTAGTTTCATGGACTTATGATTGTAAATGTGAATTAATTCTCGCGCTCACAGATCAAACGGAGTTCGAAAACGATGATAACTCACTTACGAGGGAGACCAAAACTCAACAACTAAATCAAAATCAACACTCAAAACTATTCCATAAATGTGGCAGACAAAATTACAATTACTTAGACAAAATGGAGGGCAAACACATCACCACCGCCCACAATGTCTGCTCAAAGCCTCAAATAGAGTTTTTTGCCGAACAGAAAAATCAAATCACTGCTCAAAACTACTCCCAAAGTGGTGTGGCAGACGATCAACTACTTCTCAAATCGAGTTCGACGTTCGAACAGCGACGAACACATTAGCACGTCCCCCAACCAGTGATCAAACGGCGTTCGTTCGAAAACCCTCAATTGATTTACGAAAGAATAACTTCCAAAGAACAGATTAATCACCGCCCGGAGCCCACCATCAAAATTGTCAATGCCCAAATTCATAACTACTCTCACCACTGGGTACTAACGAGGCAGGTTCCCGTGGGGCGTGGGATGTTAATGAATAATAATAAAAATTAATTCCTTAAAGAACAACGTACTTGGATTAGTCGGGGCAAAAAAAAAAAAAAAAAAAAAAAAAAAAAGACGCCGCCCAAAATTACTTGGATTTGAATCATATGATCAAAAGGAGTTCAAAATCTTTCCAAGTGTAGAACAAACGTCCACCTTCGGGGATTCCAAAAATTCTACAGATCGACGCCTGCACTGACACTAATCCAACTTAAAAAAAAAAAAAAAACAAAAAAAAAAACAAGATATGTGTAGCAGCGGTAAGGAAAAAATGCGCTCAAGCTCTGAAGCTACACAAACTCCAAGCCTTCTTTTCAAAAAATAATAATAATAATAAAAAAAAAAGAACTGCACTTGTGCCTGCAGTGCCCTGCACCAAAAGGTACTATGTTCGACGCCACCCAATCTTCGGAGTTGAAAGCAGCTCTTTGTCGGAGTTGTCGAAAGCTTTTTTTTTTGGAGTCGTCGAAAGCTTTCAATGGGCGTCGCTCCACTACTCCCGGCATGGACAAGAGACAACACTACTCCCGACATGGACAAGAGACAAAAATCATGGCGGTGTAGTAGGGTGGACCTTTCCACGCTCTAGTGGAAGATTCACTCTCGGTTTGCACATTTCGAGAGTAGTGGAGTGAGGCCCAATCTTGCACTCGCAAGAGAGTTGACGGGACCATGGGCCTCGCTCCACCACTCTCGACATGCAGAAAAGACAAAAATCATGGCGGTGTATCTTTCAATGTTCTAGCGGTAGATTCACTCTCGTTTTGCACATTTCGAGAGTAGTGGAGCGAGCCCCCATATGAAGAATAAACCAGCTGCACAGAATCCCATCTTGCCTCCTCACAAGCACCCGCTGAAGAGTGTTCACCTGACAGCGGGAACGACATGGCTGGGAACCGGGCCCAGCGTCCCATATCGAATTATACAGATCATTGAGAAAATTTGAGGTCTTTTGAGGACATTTGAGATACCAGGGCCATTACCCGGCTTCGGGTGAGAACACACTGTGAAACAGAGTCCTACGAATGCTCACTACTCTTCAGGTTCCTTGACAAACCCTTCTAAGACTTCCCAACACCGTCTTACTCCCTGCTGAGTTCTTCCAGGCCTCACGGCCCCACCCTGCTGGGTTACAGGGCAACACAACTCGCCCCAGCTCCGACCAGCGTCATCCCAGCAGCAACCCTTGGTCGTCCCTTGGGATGCCCACCCCAAAGCATCCCCAGATCTCTCTACCAGGCCTCACGCTCCTGCATCAGCAGGTTACAGGGCAACACCCCAGCACCGTCCAGCGTTGTTCTGGCATCGAACAGCCACAGATCATTGAGTATAACAGCATCAAAACTGCCTAAGATGGATTGCTAAGAAACCCTAAAGTCCTAAGACATTCATAAGAACAACTGACTTTTTTTCCATTCAGACTCTTACCAAGTCAAAAGAATATGTGTGTCTATAAGCCTCCCCATCACGAATCAGATAGGTGAAACCTATTCAATCCACCTACGACCACCACGAACCGAAGCACTTCCAGGCCTCATGCTCCCATCAGGTTAGGTTACAGAGTTGTACCACCTTGCTCCAGCACCAGCCAGCGTTGCGCCAGTTACGACCCCGGATGACCACTGGGACTGCCCCCGCAAACAGCCCCCCAGAGCTCTCTACCAGGCCTCACGCCCCCACTAAGCTAGGTCACAGAGTTGCGCCACCTGGCTCCGGCTCCGGCCAGCGTTGCTCCAGCACCGGTCTTCGAGGGCCACCGACTTCTTAACCACCCCTCGCAGGATCACAGATGGCTTGCCAGATAACACCTATTCCTACAACCTCCTCGAGAGGCAACCAAATGGAAAGCTATAGTAAGCAGAACCTTACGAGGCTTACAGTTGGTTCTGTTTTGTCAGGAAAGAAAAAGAAAAAAAATTACAAAGGAATTGGGGATGAAAAAACGACGAAGGAAGTGCGGATTTCTCGCCCAACCTTGTTTGCCGGTCACAGTTGAAGCACCTTAGCCACTGTGCTCCTGCATAGTGAAGGACAATTTCCCACTTTCGGTTCGTCCTCGCAGCGAATCTCTCAGCATGACTGGGATCAGGGATGGATGCCAGTTCGGGTTGTGCCCCCGCAAATGTCACCAACGTCTGAACCACCGCAAAGACTTCTTGGCCTCACACTTCACACATTCCTGAGTAATGACCACCACACTGTTTGAGCCTCCCTCCCCAAGCACTCTTGTGGCTCTGTTGCTTTCCGACCACCAGCAGGCTTTACAGTTTACGCCGACTGTTGGTCGGACGTGCATTCTAAGTTAATCAAACACATGCCGCCAGGTAACAGCCGACGTAATGCCTGCCTGATTTGTAGATGCATTCATGCAAAATCAGCAAACGTAGCCAGTAGAGAGCAGCCTGCTAACAAAAGCGCCTGCTGCCAGTCTTACGACACTGCCAACATCAACATCGGCATCACGTACTTCCCTTAGCGCGCTGAGCCAGTAGAGAGCCTGTCTCTTATACACATCTAGATGTGTATAAGAGACAGGTCTTGTGGCTCTGTTGCTTTCCGACCACCAGCAGGCTTTACAGTTTACGCCGACTGTTGGTCGGACGTGCATTCTAAGTTAATCAAACACATGCCGCCAGGTAACAGCCGACGTAATGCCTGCCTGATTTGTAGATGCATTCATGCAAAATCAGCAAACGTAGCCAGTAGAGAGCAGCCTGCTAACAAAAGCGCCTGCTGCCAGTCTTACGGCACTGCCAACATCAACATCGGCATCGCGAAGCTCTCATTGGGTGCTGTAGCGTCCAATTTTTTGCACATGAATTCGTGCACAATCAACACACATCCTTCCCTCGGTGATCTTCGCCTGTAGAGAGAGAAGACTGCGTACAAAACTGCCTGCTACCCACCTTACACAGCACTGCGAACATCCGCATCATGAAGGTCTTGTCGGGCGCTGCGTTCGTTCCTCTCCATGTGAGACCTGAGTTTCCTGACACTCTTGAGGGTTTTCCCCCTATGTTCATCAACCAATTTGCCATAATGCCTCCTTCGTTTCGCGACTAACATGGTCCCCACACACTGAATGGTTCTTTAGGAAAGACCTAGGGTCAGAGTAGAACACCAGTGGGTACCAATCTCCTATCCCAAGACTGACTATGACCTCGTCATCCAGATACCCATGATCGAAGCCATCTCGCAATCCTAAGTTATACTTGCTCCGAAGGTCCCGGCCGTTCGGGCTCCCTCCCTGGGTTGCTTTTATAGACGTGAGGTTGAAAGGCGGAGATCGTGTAAACGACATCGTTGTATCGAACAGAACTCCTCCCCTCGCCTGCAATCCGAAAACCAGCACCCGTGGAGAAATAGAAATGGGAACGAAGGGGGAGGTGCAGTTCCACGTGACCGCATATCGCCGGTACCATCGGCCCTCCATTTCGCCATAATCGAGAACATGAAGCACTGCCAAGAAAATGGTATTCCAAACAGTTGGGGCGCAGTCCCCTCGGTTGCAGAGAGTGACAAGAACAGGGGTGGTGCCCCCGTGGGTGTTATACGGGCGGCCCTCGTGAGGTGACATCAGGCGCTCGAAGCAATTGTAGGCAGCCTTATCTTCGGGGAGTGGTGTGACAGGCTCAACACGACCGCCTGGTCCAAGATACCGGTGAACGACGTACGGCCGAAACCTTGCGACAAAATGCAGACCTTTCTCACCATCCCTGCGTGCAACCGCAGCACTTTCGTGGCCGCCAGCACCCAAATCAGCTGTGTCCGCAGCCAGCATCCTCCTTCCGATTGCCGTCTTGCCCACTTCCGTGCTCGTGTTTGCATCCTTGCCGCTGCTTCTGATGTACTCTTCTGGAGGCACATCGACGTCATAAAAGGGCACCCAGTTCTTCTCCACATCCTGAGCAAGCTTCTCCGAATGGAGGTTTTCCCTGTGCATGCCTGGCGGAAGCGAACGGAGCTTGTACGGCTCCGGAAGTGCTTCGTCCAGTCCAGCCATCACAACCCGCAAATCAGTTAACCATTGCGATTTCAGATTGACCATTCCCCTCCCTTGAGGGTTGACCTGCACGTAAAGCATGAGAGGTCGCCCGTCTAAGCTCCAGAATAAGCGTGGATCCTCCGGGCCGATAAAATACTCCCAAAACGACGGTTTCTTCTTCTTTGCGGTGGCATTCGCATAGCGTTCATCCGTCCCTCTCCAGTCTATGGGCAGGTCAAGGTCGACGGCTGGCGTTGCGCAACGAATGTACCGATCTCCTTGGCTTCCGTCGGCATCATCGAAGAGGCAACCTACTATATGCGCATCCTCGTACTCGCGATTCTCGTGGATTATTTTCCATTTGGTCGTACGGACCACCGCCACATATCGGTGTGTGGAGTTTTCGGGAAGAGGGATGGCAGTGGGGTTGAACAGATGTCGCTCACGTTTGCCTTCGACTTTGCTCTCAAACTTGATGTACTGTGGAACGCCCCAGCTTTCTCGCAGGTTCCGGACTACAATAGGCGCAGTCCCGGGCCCAGAAACATTGGGTTCCTGGACCAGAGGGCGCCAATCTGTGCCCAAACTTCTCTCTTCTCTGTCTACTAGTGTCGGAGGCCTGATTTGATTAATCGACAGCATGAGGGATAGAGCAATAACCAGGCCTATGAGCACGCGAACCTTTCCGATGGTCAGAAATCTCGGTGCACCCCGGTCGGTCCTCTGCCAAAACTCCCTCGCATTTTTCGGTGGAGGAGTCCTTGGATAGGAGAAGCGTGATGTCGACGGTCGTGACTTTGCTGGGCCTAGGATAGAATGAATGAAGCCGCGTGGAGATGCCTGACTAGAGCCCATTGGAGTAGACATACTTACTTCCAGCGCTCCTCGGTCCTTCAGACCAGTTTTGCCCTCCAGATTGGCCATGTTGCGTGGGGGTGAACGAAGTTCCATGAACAGCCCTGGATAGAAGGCAATAGCCCCAACAACAGTCAGTTGAGTTCAATCACAACATAACTGTCAGAAGAAAACAAAAAAGAAGCATAAATCATTGATAAATGTTATTAATGTATGTCCACAATGGGCTGACGGTCGCTAACCAACTCTAAGTAGGATTTCAGCCATCCTGCAAACAACTCCACAAGTTGGTAGTTTGGGTTGGTATTAGGAAAACTAATCAGAGAACTCTGGGGATAAACTGACACCATTTGGGTGTCTGGTGGCTTCTTTCTGTTCCCACTAGAACGGCTTGAAGCACATCCCGAGTGTTGCACCTCATTTCGCTTTTTTTTTTTTCTTTTTTTTTTCCCTAATTAACCAACATGCGAGGATCTGGGTCCTCGGCAGGCCTAAGGGGCCCCGGTTGCAGTGGTGCCCGCCCTAAGTGAAGGCGGGCCTAACTTATCACAAGAGGCCTTTGACTGTCAATTTCATATTTGGGGTCCAGGCAGTCGCAACACGCCAGTTAGTTGAGTGAAACACAGGCCGAGCAACGAGACATTTCCACGGCCTTCTGGGCCTCTCTGAAACATGCAGGCCCTGGACGAGAAACACAGCCTCATACACTGACAGTTGGGAGGCCCAACCGGAAGAGGCCCAGTAGCTGCAAAGTAGCACGCAGCATCCTGGGGCCTACCGGAAGCTTCTGGGCCCAGGCCAAGTCAGCCAGGCTGTGAAGCAGGCAGGCTCTTTCCATATAGGAAAGAGCTTGCCACTCTCAACCTCATTCAGGCACTCGCATGCTAGCGGCAGCGCTGCTGGAGCAAAGGCTCGTGGGCTGCTGCTGGCACTGAGAGGCAAGGTGCAGCACGTGCGGTCGTGCAGGGAAGAAGGGCGCTGCTGAGGCAGCGCCATAGCCCAGCCACCATAGCTGGTGGGCTTGGACTACAGTGAGGCGCATGAGTGGTCTTCAGGTGTAAGGGAGGAAGACGCGGGTGTAAAGTCAGGGAAGGGTGAAGGATGATGATGATGATGATGATGATGTGAGGGCACATACCTTGTATTGGCGATGGTCTGCAATGAGCGACATCTTCAAGTACTTCGGGTTGCCGCTGATGTCAGTAGTTGCATTGTCAATTAGGAGGCTGATAATAGCTGTGTAGGAGTAGGCTGGGCACTGAGCGACAAGTAGGAGAGTGAAGGGACTAGATTCTTGTGTTGGTGAGGAGAGAGAAAGCTCTCTGTAACATTGGTTTTCAGTACTACGAACCTCCATTGGTGTATAATGGTGCAATGCTGCTCTCTGGACACGGTGTAACTATCTGACTTTCAATGTGATTGTGTAATCTGGATTTGTCATCTCGCTGTTGCTCATTTTCCTTGCAATTTGGTATCGGAGCTGGTTCATATTGCGCTTCATTGGTTCTTCGCAATAGCTGTTCGGTGCTTCACATGAGGTGTGGGGCAGTGATAAGGCTTGGGCGTTGAATATAGGGCGGCCCAGGGTCGTGTGGGCGCGCCAGGAAGCTATGTGGTGACATACGGGGGTGTATGCTGGATGATGAGAGCTCGCTGATGTGGCATATTAAGCCGAGATGGAACTGCATTCTGCTATTGGTTGTGCCGAGGCAAAGACTGGTCATCATAATTTCATAAATGCACATCAGGTTGGCGGTGAGAAATCTGTGGTTGGGGGCAGCATTATGAGGTACGTTGCTCTCTTCCTTATCTACCCTCTTCATTACTTCTTACTGTGAGGAAGTGAGTCTTGTCTTGAGAGTCCTCTCGATGTGAGGTGTCGCGAGCGCTCAACCTTGAGAGTCGACATTCTTCCTGGGCAGCAAGCTGGTGGGAGACGGGCGAAGCCTCTGAAGGGCCTTGGACGAAGCACTCGGGTCACGGTCACCATGCCAACCCGCTGGGACTAGTACACGCATGCTTTGCCGCAAGTCCTTGGTTCTGCTGCTTGCGCAATAGAGGTCATGCAGGGCATGCCAGCCCTTTGAACAGACGCTTACCAGACCGTCTTTAAATATTTCTGGTGGGGACTCGGTGTTGACTCTGGCTGTGATCGTCTTCCTGTCTGCGACGTTAAATAATTCTTGCGGAGTTTGGGGGATCTCCTTAAAATTCCTTCTGATCGGCCAGATCAAACCGGGTGTAAGGCTCGTTGCATGCGAGGGTAAATAATGTGCATGGGTTGGCAGGTTCGGCGCTGACTTGGGGCACAGGGGTGGGCCGGATTGCACACCTTCAGACAGGCTGCTCAACCAGATGCTCAGGGTATTGACACAAAGTGACAACTCAAGAAGGATACAGGGGGAGGGGGGATTCCGGTAATTGTTCACAGTGGCAATCATTAGACAATCTACCATCCAGTATACATCTCCAACAAGAAATATTATTTTTATTTTTGATTATTTAGTTTTTAGTACTTTTTACAGACTTGACTAACAACTGACAGACAGCTGCAGACAGATTAGTTCTTTGCTGCATTGCAATCTGTTCTAGAGTAATCTAAAAATAGATATGATATTTCCTATAGGATCTGACATTAGTTGTTACTACATCACCTAACTGTTTCTGTTCAGTCCGACCGGAATTAGTTGTGATTTGTAATCGGTTGTGTGTCAGGCTAAGGTAGGATTTAGTGTGGATTCTAGTTTAGATCACACACACTGTAGCTCATGAGTGATGCAAGCACTAGTGAGGAGGAGTTGTTAGTGGACGACCGTAGGACTACTCGTGGAACTGCTCGCAGTCGACCTTTGACTTTCCTAGAGATATGTCCAGGAGACGAGAGGAGATTGCGGAGAGAGGCTAGAGAGAGAGCAGCGGCAAGGAGAGCGAGGGTAGCTGAGGATAGTGCCAGGTTTAGGATTTCAGCTAGCGCCGGTACGACCATGGCTACTTCATCTACCATGTCGCAGACCTCTTCACAGCCCACTTTGTCAGGAGTTAGTTAGAGTGGTTCTCAGGGGTCCATTAGCCAGAGTGCTGGCTTGCGAGTCAGCCAACAGACTCAACTCACGCAGGATTATGAAATCCTCCAAGCAGAATAACTTCAGGATGAGCTACAACGGCAATTTGATGAGGCAGCAAAGAGGAGAAGGAGAGCAATCATGAGAAAAGCTAGACTAGGTAGTAGGAGAGAGGAGCTAGGCAGATTAGAAGCATTAGATGAGTCAACACTTGACCCTGCGATACGAGCGCTGCGTAACTCGCTTCTTTGTGTGGCAGAAGCGCAGGCTGTCCAACAGGAAGTGCTGGCTGAACTAATGGCAGGCCAGAAGCAGATTCTGGCTGCACTGCAGGCTCCTCGTCCCATGATGAGGCAGCCTCAGTATGCTGTAGCTCCCCCTTTGGGTGCGGGTCCATCAGTGACGCTCCCGCCGGTAGGGCCTCCATTCTCACCTATGTTTGGCATGCCCCCTCCAGGTGGTTTTGTAGCAACTAGTGGTCTGGTTCATAGAGTCTCAGTCGTACCATCGACGACAGTGGTTACTATAGTCCCACTATCAAGTCAGGCCCAGGTTAGTGTGCAGCAACCTGTTTCGGTGGCTATGCAGATATTGCAGCAAGCCCCTGGGCCCATGCAGCCTATGCAGTGGATGCCCAAAATAACCTTGCTGAGTCCTAAGCCCTTCTCCGGCGACAGGAAGAAGGACGAGGATTTGGATACGTGGGTAAGGACGGTGCCTACCTATGTAAGGCACAAGCTTACTAGGCCAGAGCAAGAAGTTGTGGCTGCCTCCTTTTTAGAGGGGTCAGCAGCCCATTGGTTGAATGGCCTAGTGCAGCAGCAGGCCCAGACATTGGAAGAGTCCGTACGGTCCGTGTACAACACGTGGCATGACCCTCAAGCGACTCAAAAGGCTACCGATGCAATAAACAGTCTCTGTGCCAGAAGGTACAAGAATGTTCGAGAGCTAACGGACACCGTAGAACGTCTGCTCGTGGTACCTGGTGTGCGCTATGACCAACAGGTACTCCTCACAGATTACCTTAGATGTCTACCTTCAAAGGTCAGGACAAAGCTGGTAGACGAGGCCTATGTCGAGCAGCACAACTTCGCCTCTTTCAGCAAGAAGGCCTTAGATATAGAGGCAAAATTGGGATCTGCGCATCAGAGTCAGGGAGATGGTAGGAAAAAGAGGCTACCCCAGGACTGGAAAAAGCAAGGTCAACTAATGTTCGTCGACCACGATGGTCAGACGACAGAAATTGACGATTTCCCAGACCTTGGGGAAGAGACAGAGCATGATGGGGCCAGTGAGACTTCGCATGGGGGAGTCCTGACACCCATCAAGGAAAAGGCTAGGGGGACCGGGAGGAAGAAGGTGGGCCGATCTACGGGTCAGGGCGACCAAGGAACACCCACTTAGGTGAAACTTGGTTTAGAGTACGAGGTTTGGAGGGATCGAGCTGCCAGGGGCACGTGTATGAACTGTGGCAACTTTGGCCACACATCTAGAACGTGTCGAGGCAAGAAGGTCACCACGAGGGTAGCCTCACCAAGGGTGGTGGGACTTTCTTCGAACTCTGGCAGTGCTTCTGCGAGCACTTCGCAGGGAAACACCTCGGGCCATTAGGAGTTTTAGCCGCTCTTACTCGTGCTGAAGTGGTAACGTTGTCTTCCCCACTTCAAGCGTTGGCCAAGGCTAGTGACCCACGTATCGCCCCGCAGACACATTCAGACCCACCAACTCTCTGTTCGAGAGATGTGTGAGGCCCTAAAAGAGTTAGAGACTGAGTGGTCAGGGAAGGACCCTAGGGACTCTTGGGCGATGATCCGTAGAGGTCCAAAGGGTGAACATTTCGTGGTAGAGGTTGATGTAGGTGGCCGCAAAGTTGGCGCCTTCGCAGACATAGGATCTACACGGAACTTC